CTACAAATTAACTATGAAAAAATTAAGGGAATACACTTGGCAAAGACTTGTTAACAACTGCCCTAGATTTTTGATGGAAAATGTATTGAATGAGCATCCTGTGCCTCATACTTGTTTTTTGTGATACAATATTCAGGGAAGCCATGTTGCCTTTTTCTTATGCACAAAGTTCAGTAGGGTTCTTCTAATTCTTCTGTTGCAAAGTTTGCATTTGTATCCTGTAGAAACTATGTGTTCTGACCCAAACCTGGTTCCAAGAGAGCAAACACAAGACAAATGCAGCAGTATGACCTTCTTATGTTTAAGCTAAGAATCCTGTTTCTTCACAGATAAAAGGCTGCTTCCAACTAATTAGCTCCAACAAGAAAGAGGCTTGCCAAGTTTTTTCAAGTCTGCCAAAAAACAACAGATAAGAAATAGTTTACAAGAGTCTTCAAATACCAACTGTAATGTCCACGAGGCTGAGTTCAAAATGTCTTTGCCTTCTGCAAAGAAGGTTAGTTTCACAGCTGGCTTTTATCTTCTTAAAGGAGGGGCCATTACCTTGCAGCCTTACTCCCGAGTTGCCTGTGCTGTTGTAATTGTTCTTTCCTCCAATTAATCCTGCGCTCACACGCACTTGGCACAGGCTCCTTGGGAACCTCCTCGTCACTGCTGCCAGCCCCACAATTTCTGAAGGCAGCAGTCCAATCCCGAATGGTCCTGGCCCCTCATCTGAGTCCTCGTTCTCCTCAGCCGTCTGCACCTGCTGCCGGCTGACCACAACATTATGTACTATTAATGGAAAAGGAATTTGAGGCTGATTTTCTTTTTTGTCTATACTATGTAGGATACTGCATAAAGCACTAGAGCAGGAGTGTCAAACTCACATTGTCATGGTGGCATCATGTGATGTATTGGGATTTATTTCCCCTTCGCTAAACCGGGTGTGGCCACATCTGGCCTGTGGATGCGAGTTTGACAACCCTGCACTAGTATATTGTTTTGTTTTTACTCCATTTTATTGTATAATATTTTTCCTCTTTTATTTCTTCTTTTATCTGTTACTATAATATATTTAATCAAAATGTTTTGATATATATGTTGGGCTATGGTTTATAATAAAGTGCAAATGAAATTGAAAGGGATTTTTGAGCCTTCACACACATTACTAGGAGACCCTATAGGGACAATTACCAACAAGGAAACTGACCAATGAGGAAACAAGATAACTCCAAGGCAAACATGGGTGTTCATTCATTTAATGGAAAACATTAAAATGCAGGCTTTGAAGTGAAACATACCAGCTTTGATATACAAAATGTGTCAAGGCTCTCATAGTTATTTCAACAAGCTGACACGGCACTTCACTGTAGAAGGAAAGAGAGATAAACACTGTACATCCATGAATCTGCTGCCTCTGTTCTAGGCATTCATTCTACAAGGATTTAATAATAAATTGGCACCATAACAAGAATTCTATACTTACCAGAGCCTTCAAGGTAATATGAAAACACACATGCAAAGCCATGTGATGAAATAATTATAACACAGTATAATAAATACAAGCTAAATTCTTATTCCAAATCACCATGATGTTAAAAAAAAACATTTCTTAGTTTTCTGGAGGTGTTTGTGATATTTGTTGCAATCTACTGTAAAACACCACATCCAAATGTCAATCCTTTAAGAAATTGTCTGATATTCTTGAGAAGGAAGGTAGGCTTCATTGAATTAATGTCAATAAAAGTAGAAACAATACTAAGTTGTTAACAACTAAAGCTGTGGGCCTCCAGACAGAAATTGCTGCTGAGGGAATTCACACTTCTGCGAATTTGAAGAATATGGAAGGCAAGAATTTTATTACCAGCATGGCTAGTGCTTACCAGTCCAACCCCTGCTCAAACAGGAGACCCTATACCAGTTCTATCTTAGGCCCAGTAATGCTTACCACTACTGCTTACTTCCCTCCGTTAAGGACTATTCATTGAGTACAGTTTGGTGGCCAGTTACAAATCCATCTGATTGTGGATGCTATTTATCCCACATTTTTCTAGCTTACCAAGAAGTAGGTTGTGGTCTACTTTGTCAAATGCCTTACTGAAATCTAAATATACTATGTCCACAGCATTTTGCTGGTCTACTAATGCAGTCACTTTGTCAAAGAATGAAATAAGATTGGTTTGGCATGATCTATTTTTAACAAATTTGTGCTGACATCTAGTTATAACTTTATTTGTTTCTAGATGTTTGCAGATTTTTTTAAAAATTATCTTTTCCAGTATCTTCCCAAGTATTGATGTTAGACTGATTGGTCTGTGGTTTCCTAGGTCTGTTTTTTTTCCCTTCCCTTTTTTGAAGATGGGAATCATATCAGCTCTTTTCCAATCCTCAGGTATTTCCCAGGTGCTCAAGAATTTTAGAAAGATATAGTACAATGGTTCTGAGATGACATCTGCAGCTCCTTCAGAACTCTGGGATGTAATTCGTCTGATCCGGGTGATTTATATTCATCAAGATGAAACAGTGGTTCTCCTACCATTTTCTTGCTTATTTTAATTTAATTTTGATTCTGTCTTTTACAGTTACGTTTTTGGTAGGCTGGACTATAGTTTTGTTAAGACAGATGCAAAGAATGAGTTAAACAGCTCTGCTTTCTCTGTATTGCCTGTTATTTTCTTGTTCTCTTTATAATTTAATGTATGTTGCCTCTCTCTGAAAGATCCTTTTACCATGTCAAGTACTCTTTCCTGGATAAGAAAAGTCCATACCAGTGGTGGTATTTTACTGGTTCCGCCGAACCGGTAGCTCCAAGGATCATCTGTGATGAACCAGTTTGCTTCGACGATCAGCTGCTGGGCCCTTCCAACTGCCCTGGCTCTAAACTGACCTTTATTTCCTGGTTTTGAAGCTCAGCTGCTTCGCACGGCACAGCAGATTGCCGTACATCAGCTGTTGAAGACACACATGCATGTGTAAAGCCCCACCCACCAATTCATGCCCACAGAACCGGTGGTAAAACATTTGAAATCCATCACTGGTCCATACATTCACTCAGTTTAATACTTTAATGTCCTCACTGTTGGAAGTAATATTTAACAAAATATTTGTACAATTTTTCCCATCCACAAAGGAAATAAAATAAATTTTATAATGTTTCTGTACTTTTTTGACACAGCTATTTCTGATATGTTTAAAAATACCTCTACTAATTCATAGTGATTGTAGCTTAGAGGAAGAGCATAATCTCTCTTTTTTACTATTTAAAAGATTTCCAAAAGGATCAGCAAATTCTTTTATGTCTTCATTGTTATTCAACCTTTAATAATGTAACTTTAGCAATTTTCATTTTGCACTTTCAATATATTATTTTAGTTCATAATGTTTTATAAGATATAACATATTTTGTTTGGTTTTGGTCCTTGATTATAAATCTATAAATTCACATATGTTTTTAAGCCTATTATGTTTATTTGGAATGGGCAACAGCTTTAAAATAAGGAAAAGTGCCAACAAACCTACTGATGTCCAACTGGTAAAGCCTCAGCAGTTGTTCCTCTTTAAAAACCAACCACCTTCCTTACAGCTTGGTACCCAATAAAGTAATTCAAAAAGACTAAAAAGCAGATTAAAATAAAACTCTTTTTGGGATTTTGCCAGAAACTCACACCCAAAAACCTCTAGATAAAAAGGTAAGTATTAAGGAGTATAGAAAAAAGGAAATAGGAAAATAAGGAGCTATTTTGAAAACAAAGTAAACATTAAACATTTGTTAATCTACACTACCCAGAACAGGAAATAGCAGCCAGTGGCAGTCCAAATAATACTGAATTTCAGCACTTAGATAACTAGCCAATAGTAAAAAATGCTAGGAGATATTAAGCACATAGTGATGGATCAGAAATGATCTTCTCTTGACCTAGGGGAGATGCAATTTATGAAACACAATGCCTAGTACCTATGGATATTCAACAAATGAGTTCATTTACAAAACTTAAGGGAATCTTGTTATAACTGACCTGGGCTTGGGTAGAATAGCCACTTAACCTATATCATGAATCTGAAGAGTGTGAATATCCACAAGAACATTCATTTATTATCTTTTAGACTGAAAAGCAAAGTGAGGACAATTTTTACATTCTTTTTGTGCATTTCACATATTTTTTTACCTTTTCCTCTGATATCTTTTCCTTTGACATATCCTTGATACGTTATCTTCAATTGTGTAAAGCTTATACTTTATACTTGTGATAAAGGCTACATGTTACTTCTTTATATATCTCTTTTCTCTTTATTATATTCTTATTTTTTCTTTATTCTCTTTTTTCTAGTCATACGTTTCCCATATAGGTGGAGTGATTGTAGGTGGAGTGATTGTGATTGTGTTTAGGAGTCTGACAGCCCATGGGTAGAAGCTGTTTATAAACCTGTTTGCCCGGCTGGCTATGTGCCATGCTCCTGTCGGAATCTGATTCGTAGGGGAAGCCAAACAGCTGACAGGGAGTGGGAGTGTGGCTCCGTTGGCTGTGGAAGAAACTGGGGAAGTGCAAAGACTGACTGGGCAGAGCAGGGGAGAGGTAGAGCAAGGGAGAGGGAATTCAGAGGAAGACCCAGGCCCACCCTCTCTTCATTCTAGGGCAGGCAGGGAGGAATGGAGAAGGGAGCAATGTGAGTTGTGTGGTTTACGGGGGAGGAAAAAGCCCTGATTCCCTTTATTAGCTGCAGCTGGGAACACTGTTTAAAAAGGAAAGCTGTGCACAGCAAAGTTGTTGGGAGCAAATTGTGAATTATCTGGTATTGTCAAGGCTTATCTGGGTTCCTGGCATCTTCCCAACTGTGTGTGTTTTGCTGGGCTTTCAAGTCTATAATTCCTTCTCCTGCCCTGTAAAGTTAATTACTGCAGTGTGGTTTGTGTGGATTTTTATTTACAGCTGGTACTGTTTTTGGACTGAATTTTCTCCACTTAAAAACTGTTCTTGGGAGAGTTTTTTTGTCCAGCCGAAGGTAACCTAGACATTGGGGTCAAAGTTGGAGGTATTAAAGGGGCACTTCTTGCTTATTTGACTATGTTGCCTTTGTGCCACCCCAGGGTTATCACACTATACTTCAATGTCTTCTGCCCGATGGTAAAAGTGAAAAAAGACACTGGACAGGGTGTGAGTCATTCCTAAGTATTTTCTTTATTCTGCTGAAACAGCGAAACCTGGTGATGTCCTTCAATGGTGTTAGAGGGAACCAATGGTTTCTTCTGCTGAATTGATCATTCTCTGTAGTGTCTTCCTATCTGCAGCTGTTAAACCAGCATACCTTACTGTTATAGAGTATGTGAGGATACTTTTTATCGTGGGCCAATAGAAAAAAATAATCAGCCGTTGTTCCATCTGCCGTTTTTCCACAGTACTATAAGAAAATGAAGTCTCTGTTGGGCCTTTCTAACCATCAGGTACGTGTTGTATTTCCAGGTGAAATTTTTACTAATAAACACTCCCAAGAATTTAAAAGAGGAAACCCTCTCCACACACACACCCCTCGATATATAGTGGGGCAGGTTCCTCTCTGTACTAAATAAATCACTAAATATATTGTTTTTACTGGGATCTAATACAGCTGTTTTCTTGCCAAATAAGGTAGATTTCCATAAAGATTCTGTAATTCACAACTGATTGCATCAGACTTTATCATGCTTGTCTACTAATTTCATTTTAGGGAGTGCTAAGAAATTGTTTGTTACTTATATACCCAATACAGAACTGTGCAATGTATTCATTTCAGTCCTAAACCGAAAGAGACTACCATCTGGATTTATGCTAAATATCTGGGTAGGAAAGTTTTCAATTTAGCATTTATTAATGTTTACTTGAAAGTAAATTTCAAGGTTTCCATGCAACTTAATAACACTATATATATTTAAAGATACAGTGTAAGTTATATTCAGCTTTACATACACTTTTTATATTTATTTGAAAGTTTATTTGAATTTTTAAATAATTGAGCTATTCCATGGTAAAAATTAGGATAAAAGAAAATTAAAATCCTAATAAAATAATAAAACCGCTGGTTTTATGTTAATTGAAAAGTAGTTGCAATGGTAAGTTTTCATTCCTAACCAAATAACCACATTTATTACTGGTATATTACCTGCCCAAAATGTTGGAGTCAGAAACACTTTTCCAACAATGTCATATCCAGATTCAGATTGCTACAGTAACTAGTTATAGACTTATGCTTGGATGAAGAAGTCTGCCATTTTTATTTGCAATTTTTAAAACTTCTTTCCATATTGTCCATTCTATCCTATTTTTTCCAGAACTTTCTGTTAAACTTTTTATCTGACCACTGCTGTTACAATTGACCACTGTTGTGCATACATTAATGTAAACATTAATTTTATTGCCTGACATTAGATATGATGTGACTGAAGGACCAAGTGAAAGAATTCCATCAACTTATTAGTTAATCTTGTCATGGTGTTTCATATGTTTAATAGAATCTGCAAAAAAGAAACTGCTTTTTTCTATCCAAGTATCTTCTTGAAAGGAAGACAATAAGCATAAAAGTTATATGTTGGTTCCTAGGTTTGAACTGCTCATTTTTCTTTGAAAGTTAGGTAAAGGAATTCCAAATCATCACTAAGCAACAGTTATGCAAGATCTAACAACTTTGAGTTACATCCTCTGGAATCTGCACCTGCCAGTATTATCAAAGACAAGCTGTAAAGAGTTGCAAAGAATACTGAAAGTGAGATGGTGATTCTGATAAATATTATGATAACCAAATACATGATTGACAAATACTTTTTGCCAACTGAATGGTCAGCTACCACTTTTTTACCAATTGGTAAAAAGAAATGAGTTGATACATTTTAGTGTTGACAGAGTCAATGGGGTGCCCCATTAGACAACCTGAAAAGCCAGATTAGGGACAGATAATTATGGAGAAAAACTATCTATGATGTCACTAAGAGTGGACACTGACTTGATGGCACTAAGTCAATCAACATAAGGTTAAAAAAACACAAACCTGCAAACTTTGATAACTAATTTGTCGAAATGTAGAGAAGCAGTTACAGTTCCTCCAAGAGCCTTCTGACTCTCTCCTCTATCACTCAATCTATCTTTTATCTGTCTACATGCTAACCTGCTTATAGAAACAAATGCATTTACATACAAGTTTTTGACATTTAAGGTTTCTAGATTACATTTTATACTACTCAAGTGGCCTTTTATTTCTCAAAGGTAGATGGCAGTGTTCAAATATAATCAAGAGGAGACAAGCTAATTAAAGCAATATATTTTGCCACTTTAGCTGGAGTACAGAAATATAAAATAGTTTATCCTCTTTTTCCAACTAAATCATATATTTAATTTTTTTCTTATTTTTCATCCAGGACACAAAAACCCAAGAATAATGAAGCACCAAAAGCCATACGATGCAAATTATTGGTATAAACTATTCATGTGGAATTTCTACCCAGCAGTGCACTTCAATAATAACTGATTTATCCATTATATGACAAACTTGCTACCATAAAAACATAGGGGGGAAAGCCTGTTATTCTGAAGAGAGAGGGGAAGGGAGGGAGGGAGGGAGGGAGAGAGAGAGAGAGAGACAGAGACAGAGACAGAGAGACAGACAGACAGACAGACAGACTTTTTCCATTCCTTTTCACTTATTTGTATTCACTTCCAACAGGGAGGTTTAACTAAAACTTCAAAACTGGTGTCTCTTAATAGATCTGCTCTCCAGGAAATTATCTTACTGTGTAAAGCCATTCAAGTTGTCATATAGCACTTGTGATAATGATTTCATAAGCTAATTATTTGCTGTTTGAAAAAAAAAGCATACTTTCTTTGGTATTCTCTGGAGGCAAAAAGATCTACACCTAAATGTCATGACTGCTGCAGGGGTTTCCTTATATGTTCCACCAAAGTTTCACCAGACCAGTGGTCCAGAAATTGGAGTTGTCTCATCACATTTATAATCTGGCCATGCTTCAATTTCGTGGGGTTGGCTGGTGCCTGGATGCTTTTTTGGAAAGTGTCCATTGATTGGTGACTGCATGTGGTGTTGTTTTTGTAGTTCTGTTCATATCGGATTGCCTTGTCAATCTGATAGGAATGGCTTGGATATTGCATCTGATTGGTTAAAATTGAACCCAATCCAACTATTCTCTTAATGGTGCCTTTATCTGAGTGCTGGTCTTCCAGGAATTCTCTGCCTTTTCTGCATTTGTTTGACTGTAGTTCTGTATTATCCCAGTCAAAGAGATAGTTCATTTGAGAAAAGTCATTGATTGCTGTGTCTTACTTTCTCCTTTTTTACCAGCTCGCAGTCCATAAAAAGACAGGTGATCTCATCCCATGGCTATTAAGTTATATCTTTGAAGAGAAATTATAACAAAGATTTTTGGAAGTCCAAATATACAATTCATTCCCATCAATATGCTTGTTGTCACTTTCAAAGAATTCCAAAAAAATGGTGAAGTATGATTCATCTTTGTAGAATTCATGCTGACTTTCTTTCAGGAAAGTTTGTTTCTCTATAGTTAATTTAAAAAAAATATTACTGTTTTCACTAATTTGCTCAGAGCAGAAATTAAGTTGGCCAGTCCCAATTGTCTGAATATTTATTTATTTATTTTATTTATTTATTTGATTTGCCAATTGTTTACAAGATAATAAGTATAAGTGTATACATAGTTGTGAATACATGAAATGGGTACATATAAGAAAAATAAAAGAATAAGAGAAACAATAGGACAGGGACGGTAGGCACGTTGGTGCGCTTATGCACGCCCCCTACAGACCTCTTAGGAAAGGGGTGAGGTCAATAGTAGACAGTCTAAGGTTTGGGGAAGAGACTACAGAGTCGGGTAGAGTATTCCAGACATTGACCACTCTATTGCTGAAGTCGTATTTCCTGCAATCAAGTTTGGTGCGGTTTACTTTGAGTTTGTATCTATTGTGTGCTCTTGTGTTGTTATGGTTGAAGCTGAAGTATTCATTGACAGGTAGGACATTGCAATGTATGATTTTATATACCATGCTTAAGTCAGACCGAAGACGGCGTAATTCAAGGTTTTCTAGTTCTAGAATTTCAAGTCTGGTGGCATAAGGTATTCTACAACGAGTAGAAGAGTGGAGAACTCTTCTTGTGAAATATTTCTGGACTTTCTCAATTGTGTTAATATCAGATACGTAATGAGGGTTCCAGACTGATGAACTGTATTCGAGTATTGGTCTAGCAAATGTTTTGTATGCTCTGGTTAGTAGTGTGATATTACCAGAGAAAAAGCTACGTAGGATTAGGTTAACAACTCTTAATGCCTTTTTGGCTATGTAGTTGCAGTGTGCTCTAGCACTTAGATCATTAGAGGTGAGTATTCCAAGGTCCTTTACAGAGCTTGGGTCATCAACAAGATCTTGGCTATTCAGCTTGTATTTTATTTTCTGATTTTTTTTGCCAATATGTAAGACAGAGCATTTATTTGTTGAGATTTGAAGTTGCCATTTGTTTGACCACTCTGATACATAGTCAAGATCTTTTTGTAGGGTAGCAGTATTGTCTGTGGTATTGAACAGCTTTACATCATCAGCAAAAAGAACGCAATTGCTCTTAATATGATCACAGAGGTCATTTATGTAGAGTATGAAGAGAGTTGGTCCTAGAACACTGCCTTGGGGGACACCACTATTGACAGGTACAGAATTTGATAGGACGCTCCCAATTTTGACCATTTGTTGTCTGTTTGCCAGGAATGCTTCTATCCAGTTATTCAGTTGTCCAGAGATACCATAGGATTTTATTTTTAGGAGTAGTTTGTCGTGTACCACTGAATCGAAAGCTTTACAGAAGTCTATGTAGATTGCGTCTATTGCTTTGCCCTGGTCGAGTTGTGTCATCCATATGTTTTTGCAGTGTAAGAGTTGCAGATTACAGGATAGTTTTTTTCTGAAACCAAATTGTTTATTGGAGAGTAGGTTGTTTGTCTCTAAGTGGAGGATGATGGATTGGTTAATAATTGATTCCATGACTTTACAGGTGACGCAGCATAAGGAGATTGGTCTGTAATTTTCAACTAGGCTTGGGTCTCCCTTTTTGAAGATGGGGATGACTGTGGCTTGTGACCATAGGTTAGGCAAGGAGCTGGTCCTGAAAGATTTTTCAAAGATTATGCTTAGAGGTTTGGCTATGGCAGTGGATAGCTTTTTTAAGAAGTAGGCACATATTCCATCCGGTCCAATAGATAGAGATGGTTTTAGATTGCGTAGTGCTTTTACAACATTGTCTTCTGTAAAATCGATATGTATTAGATCATTGTTGTTATCTGTGGTACGGCTAGGAAATACTGGGCATGATCCATTGCTGTTTACAAATACTGAGCCGAAGAATGTGTTAAAGAGGTTGGCTTTAATGGTGTCGTCGTTGCAGTCTTTACCATCAGGTCCTATCAAGGGTGGGATGGACCTTGAGTCTTTTAGTTTGTTGTTTACAAAATTGTAAAAAGCATGGGTGGAATTGGTGCTTAGAAGGTTTTCCTCTTGTTTAATGTGATAATTGGTGCATTCGGTCTTTATCTGGTGGCATAAATTTTTGTATCGGCTTTTGAAATTGGCAACGTGACCAGATTTGTTTTTCCGCCAGAGTGATCTCTTTTTGGATTGAAGTTTCCTTATTGTTATGGGTAATCTGCTTTTTTGTTTTGTTTTGGGAGTTGTTGTTGGAACATATAGTTTGATGACTCTTTTGACTTCAAGTAAAAATAATATTTTCCATAGCCATTACCATTTCATCAAACTTTTTAAAGAAGATTTCAATTAAAGACTGTATGTTACCAGTCTTTTGTCAGCTCTGTTTATTTGCAATTCAATCCACTGTTGCTATGTGTAAGTTAGTCAGGAAACAAAGAATACTAAAGCAAAGTGAAGATATAAATTAAAGGAACAAGGAAGATATTTTCTGGTTATGCAGATCCAAAGTTAAAATAAAAATAAAAAGATAAGTTCCAAATATTTTGCAAGTTAATAAAGTACAAATACCCTGTGATGAAAATCTAGTATTGATGTAAATCAAATAAAAGCACTTTACCATCCAAGGACAGGCTGTATGTCCATATGAAAAAGCAAAAGTTATTCAAAACAACAACATAAATCAAAAGGAAGAGGGAAAAAAACAGTTAAAATGCAGCAAGGGGTTAAAGTACATCAGCATTCAAGCAGCCAATCAACTTCAAATTCAATAGTGAAAGTTTAAGAAATTCAAAAAGTGAAAGTTAATACTAAGGCATGCTTAGAAAATGAAATGCTGAAAGGAACATGTATGCTCTACTTTCTGACAACTCCCAAAGGGAATTGGAATATTCCCCTTCCCAGATGGGTCCACGGCCATTCAAAAGTCATCTGGGTCATTCATAAATGCTCCCATTCTAATCCAGGGAGCAGCACTGACAGAAAACCAGCTCTGGCAGCAAAATCACAGTTAGCAGGAAAGAGAAAAATTCATACTGTTCAGCAGCCATCTTGGGTGTCTCCATGTCCAGAAAATTCTTCTTTTGTAAACAAAGGAGAATGTGTTGGTGCTAGCTGGTAATTTCCAATTTGCATTTTTCTAAACATAGTAGTATTATGGTCACTCTTGCCTATTCATAATGCATGAAATCATTTGCACATAATTTTTATCAGCTTTTAATAAGTTTACATGAGTTTTGGTAACTTTTAAGGATCCGGTCTATTTCTGTAAATATTCTCCATGGTGAACTTGAATGGTATTCATTAAATCTTCAATTTTCTGATTTTTTTTTCAAGTCATTAGTTCTTGACAAATGAATGAGAGGTTCTATTTCTCCTTTTCAGGAAAAAAGAATAAACTTTGAGAGCTAGTGAAGTATAAGCTGCTTTTAATCTGTAAATACTATTGTACCACTGAGCCATAGAGAAGACAGTAGGGTTTCAGTTTCATTTGTGTTGTCATATTGATGGATTAGCAAATATTATTCATGGTTGCATGCCAAATGATGCCTTTTGAATTTGAGTCCAAGGAAAACAGCAGGAATTCCACCTGATGAAAGGCCTAAAGGAGTTGTTAATTCTGGCTATTTTAGAGAAGTAATAGGTGACGGCAAAACTGAAACATATCAAAATATGGAACCATTCCTTTCAAAATAGCTTGCCTATTAGATTGAGTGTGATGGAGGAAGTAAAAAAAATGTGTTTAAAAAGTTTTCATTGCATCCTGGACATCTCAGAACATTTCTGTAGATAAACTCTTTGAAAGACTGCTATATACAAAAGAAACTGAATAGTAATATGAATGGTAATTTACAGTACAGACAAAGAAACCTCCTCTCCCCAACTTGTTCCACAATTATTGAAACTTTCTTTCTGTAGTTTAGTAAGATAAATTAGTTCTTGGTAATTTCTATACAGCTTTATGATTAAATGCAGACCATGCTAAGCACATTTGCTGGCAAAATTGTAATGATAGTGCAAGGCTTTTTATTTTGACATTACAATTGCCATTTTTGATTGAAAACAATAAAAACGATTGCCTTTATAGAATAGCTTTTGTATAGTATTAAAAAACAGTTGTGGGTCTTTATTAGTACTTGGATCCAAGCATGAGAGAAAGGGATTAACCATTTTCCCCTATGGCATTTTCTTGATCCAGTCCCTTAATCTCCAGCTGCTAATAGCAGCAGGGAGAAAACAATATAGGCACAATATGCTTCTCAGAACTGGAAGAAAAGAGGATAAGAATTCTTTTTTCTAAACTACCGGTAACTTAAAGAAGTAAATGGAAAGAAAGTTTCCCAGCCTCCTTTCCTCCTCCCCAATATCCTCTCTCACATAATTCAGGACAACCCCCTATGCACCGATCAGAATTTTCTTCAACAAAGGAAGAAAGATGATTACAGGAGAAGTGGATAGAAACTCTCTTCCTACCTATGTCAATTAATCCTTAATTAATGGGCTGCTATTAAGGTTTCAGGAAAATTCTATCTCCTAATTTGTCTTGCAACCAATGATGTGTTTTGTACCATAGAATGCATAATTTTTGCAGAATATTCTGCAATTGGTTTCGGAACAACAATAAGCTAAAGAAAATGACTGAGGAAATAGAAGTTCCTTCTCCAGTGCCTGCACTTAAAAGAACCAGGAGATGAGTAGCTGCTGAAGTTCAGTTGAGAGCTACAGAGTGCTGACCAATTGGCCCCCATCTTCACCCGAATCTTCAATAGATCACTAGAGATGTGCTATGTTCCTTCCTGCTCCAAATGCTCTACCATCATCCCAGTGCCAAAGAAGCTCTCCATCAAGGAACTGAATGACTACAGACCAGTTGCTCTAACATTTGTAGTTATGAAAATCTTTGAAAGGCTTGTGCTGTCCCTCCTGAAAACCATCACGGATCCGCTGTTAGATCCCATGCAGTTTGCATACCAAGCAAATAGATCGACAGATGATGCTGTTAACATGGCTCTGCTTTACATCCTACAATACCTTGAATCTCCAAATACCTATGCAAGGGTCCTCTTTGTAGAGTTCAGTTCAGCATTCAATACCATCATTCCAGACACTCTTCTAAGTAAATTAAACCAACTAGTGGTACCTGAACACACTTGTAAGTGGATCATAAGCTTCCCAACAGACAGGAAGCAGCAGGTGAAGCTAGGCAGAATCCCATCCAATACCTGTACAATCAGCACAGGGCCCCCCAAGGCTGTGTGCTTTCTCCACTTCTCTTCTCCCTATATACCAATGACTGCATCTCAAACGATCCATCTGTTAAAATACTGAAGTTGGTCTCATTTGAGACAACGATGAATCTGCATACAGACAGGAGGTTATACAACTTGCCTTGTGGTGTAACCAGAACAATCTGGAACTGAACACACTCAAAAACGTAGAAATGGTGGTAGACTTTAGAAGAAACCCTCCTATACTGCCATCTCTTACAATATTAGACAACACAGCATCAACTGTAGAGACCTTCAAATTTCTAGGTTCTACTATATCACATGACCTAAAACGGACACCTAACATCAAAAACATCATCAAAAAAGCACAACAAAGAATGTTCTTTCTGCGCCAACTCAGAAAGCTCAAACTGCCCAAGGAGCTGCTGATAAAGTTCTACAGAGGAATTATTGAATCTATCACCTGCACCTCTATAACTCTCTGGTTTGGTTCTGCAACCCAACAGGACAGACAGAGGCTTCAGAAGATAATTAGGACTGCAGAAAAAACAATTACTACCAATCTGCCTTCAATCGAGGACATGTATACTTCATGAGTCAAAAAGAGGGCTGTGAAAATATTTACAGTCCCCTCACGTCCTGGACATAAACTGTTTCAACTCCTTCCCTCAAAACAATGCTATAGAGCACTGCACACCAGAACAACTAGACACAAGAACAGTTTTTCCCCGAAAGCCATCACTTTGCTAAACAAATAATTCCCTCAACACTGTTCAACTATTTACAAAGTGTACACTACTATTACTGTTAATCTTCTCACCACTCCTTATCACCCATCCCCTCCCACTTGACTGTTTCCTAGTATGATTTGATTGTTGATTGTATCCTATGACTATCATTAAATGTTGTATGTTATGATTCTTGATTCTTAACGAATGTACCTTTTCTTTATGTATACTGAGAGTATTTACACCAAGACAAATTCCTTGTGTGTCCAATCACACTTGGCCAATAAAGTATTCTATTCTATTCTATTCAGAGCACAGTAATAACCACTATCACTCCCAAGTAACATTGCTGTCTGTCCTTCCTGGGGCAGATGAACAAAGAGGTTATTGAGGTCAAATGTTATATACACTCTAGGTCTAAACCAACTAAATACAAAGCAGAGGTTTTACTTTTCAAAGAGGACTGCTGGTCTTCCAAGGACAACCTGCAACTTTCCAGCAACTCCATTAGGCACCCAAAGATGCTTCATCACCTCAGTCTTTCTTCTGGCAGATTTCCAAACTAAGCACTGAGTGAGAGCTAGCCACATTTCAATTTCCAAGAATGTGTATGCAGCCCATATAAAGCCCAATTCCATATTTGGAAATAAAAGTAATGTTAGAGGGTAACACTTTTCTTGGCATCATGCTTATTTCCATTCATTGTTTTGAACTAAAGGAATCTCAGAAACAAAATACAATTCAGGCATATTGCATAGATGCCTGCAGACCCCATCTTAGGGACAGAGAATTCAAACTAAGCACTTGTCCAAGAAAGACGAGAAGTGGGGGGAGAGAAGGAGGAGGAAGCAATCCAAGTATTTATCTTGCTTTACTTATGCTCTTCCATCTGTCTTCCAGAATTTTTTTGTTTCATACAGTATCCTGCACTGCATTTAGAACATAGAACATGAGTGTCAAATTCAAATTCACTGAGGGCTGCATCAGCATTATGGTTGTCCTTAAAGAGCCAGTTGCATGTAAGACTATGACAACTCACAGTGGCAGGTAGGCATGGCTGGGTAGGCGTGGCTGGGTGGTCATACCTGGCTCTCTGTGATTAGGTGGGCATAGCTGAATGAACGTGGCTGGAATGACACCGCTCACTGGGCATGGCTGACTCAGGACAGCAATAAGTTGCACTGGATAACTTGACATGGGAACAATCCACAAGCTCCTTGCCTCCCCAAACTGCTGGCAGCCAACCGTGTGTGCACACACAGACACACACACACACACACACACATGCACCGCATTTTAAGTTTGGGGACTTTTATTCAGAGAAAGGAGAGGGCCTTCTCCCCAAGCCCAAGCATGATTGGCAGTGGTGGAATGTGTGTGTGTGGATGCACAGCACACCAAAGGAGACTTTCTTCTCCCAATCCCAGACATTGCTGGCATTTCTCTGTCTGGTGCCCTGTCCGGTGCCCACTCCCAGCAGGCGGAGGATGACATTGCTGCATGTGGAAGTGTGGAGGAGAAAGTTTGCATGAAGCAGTTTCCTCTGAGTCCAACTTCTGCCTTTGACAGATCTCTGGAGAGAAAGAGGAGACTGGAGAGCAGCGCTCCCTGGTCCTCCACGAGGGAGGCTGGCCCTTCTCAAAAGGACAACCCAGTTTCCAATAGTGTGTGGGAAGGATGATAGCTTGTTGGGGTAGTGTCCTTAATGCAGCTTCCACCATCCCCTCCTCCACTCCATATATCTGTCAAGGCAGAAGTTGGACTTGGAGGAAACGGCTTCCTGCAAACTTTCCCTCCATGCTTCCACCTGCAGCAGTGTTGCTTTCTGCTGCCTGTGGGGGGTCAGGTAAGGCTCGGAGGGGGAAACTGGTGGTCTCCAGTGGACGAAAGTGAGACCATGGCAAGCACCAAAGCCTTGTCCACCAGAGCAGCCTTGCCATTCCTCTCAGACCATGTAGAAGACCTCTGGACAACATCATGGGCTGCCCAGAACCCTGGGCAGCAGAAGGCAAATGCCCAGCCTGGATCTCGAGCTCCCAGGGCACCAGGATCCTGCAGCCCAGCCCAGCCCAGTCCCACTTCCCCGAGGGGTGCCCTAATGCACTTATCTCCTCCTTGAGGTTGCTGCTGTGCTCGGTCTCTTGAGCCAGGTTGCTCGTGGTGGGTGTGGTAGGGCAAAGTGCATGGGTCAGAGGGAGGCCCGCTTCCTCTCCATGTGAGCAGACCCAGCTTTGTAATCAAAGCATTTTCAGCGACAGCTTGGGAGAACAACAGGAGAGGCTAGTAGGAGGGGAGAAGGGGATGGCAAAAGGGCAGCAGGGCTGCTGGTCGCCAAGTGCTAAGGCAGAACTTCCCTCAGACCCTCCGTCTCTCTCATTTCCACCTCCTTCCTTCCTTCCTCACCCTTACCCTCCCTCCTTCCTTCTCTCCCTCCTTCCTTCTTATTCCCATCTCCTTCCTTCCATCCTTCCTCCCCCCTCCTTCCCTCCCTCTGTGCTCAGGAAGAGATGAGGGGAGGGGGAGAGAGTGGCAGCACTGCCAGTGGCCATGACTTTCCCACCAAAGGGTGGGAGGTGGGAGAGGGGCCATCCCAATAAAAGGGAAGTGCTCATGGGCTGCATGGACAACGGGCAAGGCTGTTGGAACTCTACTATGCACTGTTTTACAACAACTTCATGGCAGCCACCCGGGCCAGAACATGGTCAGCCTTGGCAGGGCTCCAGGGCTGTCCTGGAGACAGCGAGGGGCCAGCCCCTACTCCCTCTGCCCCAATCCATTCCTGGCCAGTTGGGCGCTCCCTTAGGGAGCACCTACAGGACGCAGTGAGCATGCGGGGTCTGGCATCCCTGGTGATTGTCTTGCTCTTGCTCCCTGCAGGCTGACCACATTTTGAGTGCTTCCCTTTCACCTAGGATGCCAGCCAATAAATAATCCATTATTTTCCACACAATTATACTTCTTTCTAAAAACAAGCATTGGCTTTAAAAAAAAACACTTGTATTTTAACAGGTCTCTATGAGGAAGCTAATTAAGTGTTTTCATGTTTGTCCCTAAACATGGGCTAAGACATAGGAACCTGAAGTGATTGGCAGGACTCAAACTTGAAGAATTTTTGAAAGATGTAAGTTTTTTAAAAACTGTTTATACCAAAGTCTTTCTAAGATTATTTTAATGGTTGATCTTTCTGTCTATCATCTCTCTCCCCCTCTCCATCCATCCATCCATCCATCCATCCATCCATCCATCCATCCATCCATCCATCCATCCATCCATC